ACCTAGTTGATTATCTCCAACTCTCTGATCCATCCAAGACTACTACTTTCTTCAAACCAAAATATAACATTTAATCTACTAATTGTATGCTGCTGATGACCCTACTTAATGTGTAAGTGCATATTCAGAACAATAATATGTAGAGAATTCAGTAGTGATCTTTAAACAATGAGTAATACTAGTAAAGTAAAACATGTTCTTATCTACAGGTCATATTTTAGCACTTTATACCTGGAGTGGGTGGATGATTGCATCTGGTTCCCAAGACAAGACTGTAAGATTCTGGGATCTTAGAGTACCGAGTTGTGTTCGTGTAGTTGGAACAACATTTCATGGAACTGGTAAGACTATTGCTCTTTTCGCACCGACTAAAAAACTTCTTGCACAATTACATATTTTAAAGATTGTTCTTGTCATTGGTTTGCTGAAAACAGGGATCTTGCATTGTAAAATGAGGACTTATGGCTTGTTCAAAACAATCCCCAGTTGCTCGTTTTAAAAAAACAACAAAAACTTGGTATATTCATTCAAAAACTGGTTAGTTCTTTGCTTTGTGACCTTTTGATATTATTAGCTATTTATACAGCACCATAAGCTTACATGATGCTCTAAAACAGAGAAAACGTACAACCTTACCCCCAAAAAATCAACACTTTAGACTGACAAAGAATGACACGCTTTGTAACAGTGATATTATTTTATTGATAACAAATGTAAACATGGTGGCTGCAAGGAATATTAGGCTGTTAAAAAAGTCAACCTTGGAGTTAAATGTGGCTTCTGGAATTTGGCAAATCTACTGTCGTGTAAAGGACATAGGACTCTACCTAGCAAATGTCCATATATAGTTAATGCAACACTTCCAAACTGATACAGCTCAAGTCAAGAAATAATAACATGTTTTCTCAAACTCCAAAATGCAAATGTACAAAGGATGGTGTTTGTCTAAACTACAGATGTACAGTAATCTACACAAGAAGTGTTTTGAAAAAAAGTGAGTCAGGTACAGAACTTGTTTTCAAAACAATCTCTTTATTGCCAATATATTTCTAAATGAATTATTCTGCTATGGATTCTAACTATGCAGAAAATTAAAAGCCTGCCAACACTCTTGGATATTCCCTTTTTCTGTGATGAAACATTGAGCAAATATTCCTAATCTTTTTCCACTGTTAAACACAATTCTCTGATGCAGCTTTAACTGTGACTTTGCTACCACTCCACAATTAGAAATCAACATATGCTACAAGGCAAACTATACAATGGGGGCAATACAACATAAGACTTGTCTTTTAATATAGACAAAATTGGCTGAAAGTACATTTAACTTGGCTAGATATGTTCTTTACCTTTTTTAATATTAACAGTTCTACAAACATCTCTCAAACCTTTCTATGTTCAAAAGAATGCAGAACATATCCATAAGTCTATATTAGTTTATGGTCGGCATTTTCTTCTTATAGGTAGTGCTGTGGCATCTGTAGCTGTTGATCCTAGTGGTCGCCTCCTAGCTACAGGGCAAGAAGACTCCAGTTGCATGTTGTATGATATTCGAGGAGGACGAATGGTACAGAGCTATCATCCTCATTCCAGTGATGTTCGTTCTGTTCGCTTCTCTCCTGGGGCTCACTACTTGCTCACAGGATCTTATGATATGAAAATAAAGGTGACAGACTTGCAAGGTAATTCATCAGATGTGAAGTGTTTTAAGCAAAATTGAGCAGTGAAGTGTGTTTTGTTAATAGCGGTTTTAAGAAAGTTTGGATCAAAAGAGATTCATTTCTGAAAATGTAGAAATCTGAAATCTATTAAGGCTATAAAGTGAAATTTAAAAGGTTTAGAATACACGACTATTGGTTCTTGTCAGCTCACAACAGATTGCTCTTATTGCAGTCAAGACTATAGTCTGACATATAAATATGATTAAGGAATATAATTGCAGTATGGGAAACAACTTGCAGCTGTTTAATCACTGGACCTCTGCTTTGAGGTGGAGTGCAGAAAACTCAAACCCACAAAGAAAAAAATCATGCTTGGCTTACCTTTTTGGTGGGGGGGGGGGGAGTGGGAGGGATTAGTCAAAAGTCCTTCAATTAACCTGATTTTTATGGACCATTAATTTGTATTTAAACTGTAGTTTATGGAAATACCAGTGTTGCAAACAGTTGTATTGTACCTAACACAATAGAGTCCCAGCCTGGTTGGCCTCTAGACACTGCTACAGTATAAATGTTAAAAAATTATTTATAGCAGTCAGTTTTATTGATTATAGAATTTGAAAGGAGACTGTCATGGGCCTTCCAAACCAAAATAGACTTTTCCCCCTTTAATGTGAATGAAAGGGTTTGTGTGCATTCTTCCTGTAAGCATATTCTTGAGGTATCTTTAAATTATCACCTAATGAAGTAATTTGTTGTTCAGCAAGTGAAATAGATATGTAGAGTTTATTCAAGAAAATTATTTTAAGTGTTCACGAAACAAGTAATTATTTCTATTCCTCTCTCCTAGGGGACCTTACTAAGCAACTTCCTATTATGGTGGTAGGGGAACATAAGGACAAAGTGATTCAGTGTAGATGGCATACGCAAGATCTATCCTTCTTGTCATCTTCTGCAGACAGAACTGTAACACTTTGGACCTACAATGGGTAGAGTGCAACTAAAGGCAATGTATGTAGATAAAGCACAGAGAAATAAGACTACTGGACTGTAAAAATAATAATTTAGGGATTCAAAGAGCAGCATCTGACCAGGAGAGTGTCTTAGCAAGAAGAGGCACTTGTCACAGATTTTCTGATTGGTAGGAGGTCTTGGTGTGTTAGTATTATTTTGCAGTGCTTTCAGTCTTCCATGTGAACTCTTGCTGCTGTGACCTATTGTAGTCTTGTTGCCAAAGTCTGTTGGAAGAGCTCTTATGTTGTCAATGTGCACTCAAAGTAAGATTAATGATGTGTTTACAGTTTAGTATTAATTGCATTCCTTGGTCTTTGCCTCAATGACAATTTTATATAGAAACTTAAACCGAATTACACTTTTAATCAACTCAGTAACTAGTTCCACATAAATGTAGAAGATAAAAATTTACTTCTGCTGTTTCACACTTCTATTGTATGCATCACTTGTCAACCAGAGGTCAGATTTTTTTTTTCCTTTCCACGCTTTCAGCATTGTTTGTGTGTGTTTTTTTTTTTTTTTAGTACATATAATTGTAAAATTTAAAGGTGACTAGGCAGTAAGTGCTTCTTGATTATAGTCCACTATATAGTGTGTTTTGCTTTTCACCTAAACTGGGGGAAGTGTTGCAGTTTTTACTAGGTGATATTGTTTTCAACATGCTGACGTTGAAAACAAAAAGTAAAATGTTGGGTTTGCTCCAGAAACCATGTAATGTTTCATTTTGAATGCAACAGAATACCTCTGTGTATAATGTACTGTAGAAAAGGGCATGGATTGGCATCAGTTATCACAGTGAGCTAAATGGTTAGCTGTACTCTTAAAGAAAAATGGTACCATTAACACTTAGACAACAGCATGGCTTAAAATGCTGTTTGCATGATAATTTAAATTAAAACATTTAACTTCCCAGTCTAGAAGCATATTTGGATTTTTCTTTCTTGCACTGTTTATGTAATGCAGAATTGCAGTTTTATTTCTATGAAAATTTAGATTCTAATGTTTAAGTATTGTTATATTTTCATATTGTACAGTTCCTTTTAAATTAAAACCTTACATTTTAGGTTATTTATTTATTTGAAATGCAGTTATTTGGTTTTAATAACGATTAAATTATCGGTTCACTCTAGCAAGCATTTTTTAACTAATTGTATAAAAGTGAAAAGATTATTATGGAAGTGTATCTCTGCTATAATCTCAATAAAGACCTCTGACACCTGAAAGCACAACTCCTACTTATTTCACTCATAGTCTGGTCTCTCTTATACTACTTCTATAAATCTCCAAGTTTCAACTCTAGGTTTACATGTTATTAAAAGATGAAGACTTTATACCTTCCATATCCTCTTTAGTAGCTGATTTAGCAGAGCTAATGTATTATAGTAAATTACTTGGTTATAGAAGCCTGTTCTTGTTCTACATATAGACCCCCCCCCCCCATGCAATTTTGAAGTTAAGTCTGAATTTTAGTTCTTCTGTCCTGTCTTGTTTCCATACCTATAGCTGGTTGGTGATCTATGGTCTCAGTCACACAATATTCTAACACACTGATTGCACGTTAAATTCTAGCAATTTCCCTGCAATAGATCTTATTCAAAATTTGAGCATCTTATTTCAACTGAATTCCTGACTACCACAAAACTTCAGTTTCTCTTCCATTCTTTATTTCTGTGTCCTAATCACTGCTTCCCTGTTGTGATTCGTATTAGCACTGCAGCTGTACAGATTCTGATTTTTAACACTTGAGAGATTCCAAGCTTATCTTCGGTGTGCTTTTCAGACCACCTAACCATGCATCTGAGAATACCCACACAACATATTTCCTCCCAAAATGGTGTCTTGTCCGCAGCTGCACACAAATTATTCGAAAAGGTAAAACATTCTAATCCGTTATTCTGGTACAAGATAAACCATACAGAAACCTGCAGCATGACATGTCACAGTAGGCGGGAAGGTGTAGGGGAGAGAATTAGATCACTCAAGGACTAGCTACACAACCTTTCACCTTTTCTGATTTTTAAATCCATCTGATATTGGTAGAAATATTCAGCTGCTTGTTCAGCGGTCTTTGTGAAATTAGTCTGCTCTCAGTCCATTACAGCAGTTATGCTGCAAGCCCCTGTAATGGCACCCTTGCTGTTCGCTTCAGCAAGGAGGCAAATGGTATTTTCAGGTCAGGCTTGAGACGTGTCCTACATTGCCCGCCCGCCGCGCGCCGTTTTGAAGGGTCTGTTTTGCTTGGTTTCCGTTGCCGCCCGCATCGTTTCTGTCCCGGATGGAGAGGAGCGCCGAGCGCATGGATTGGGATCCCGTCTTCTCCGTGCGGCTAGGCTGACCCGCTCGGTTCACTCTTCGCTGGCAGGGGGGCTGGGGAGGGCTCGGAGCGGGAGCTGGGCCTGGCTCGAGGCTGCCGGAGCGGGGCCGGGGGCCGAGCGAGGGAGAGGGCAGGTGGGCTGGGGCGCTCGCTGGGCGGGCTGGCGGGGCCGTCGCCGCGGGGATTTGGGGAGGATTTGTAGGGGGTTGGGGCGTATGTGGGGGCTCCCTCGCGGGGGGTTGTGGGATTCGGGGAGCGGGAGTCGGGGGGAGGGGCTGGCTCCTTGGTTGGGGGCGGGGGGTGGGTTGTGGAGGGCGGTTGCGCCTCGAGGGCGGGGGGCTCCCTCGCGGGGGTTGTGGGATCTGGGGGGGAGGCTCCCATGTTGGGGGTTGCTGGGGGCGGGTCTCTGGCTAGTGGGACTCGGAGTCAGGGGGATGGTTCCCTGGCCGGGGGTTGTGGGATTTGGAGGCTCCCGTGGGTGGTGGGGGGGCTCCCTGCGTGGGGAGATTGGGGGGGGGAGATTCCCTGAAGGCCGTGGCACTGCAGGAAACTAACCCACTAGGTGGTGCTACAACACGGTTACAATTTGTAGCATGCACAAGAGGGTAGCTGGATGTCGCACAACTCAAGTCCTAGGCTTAACCTTGTTTGCAGAATGTGGCTGGATTCATCAAAAGACTAACAGGGGGAGGCTTTATTTCCTTCCAGATTTTAACAGTTATAAGTGACGTTCCTGTTTTGTTCTTTGTCTGTTGTTCAGTAATAGGTTTTCTTAATTAGTAGTAGCAAATGTAGATAGAAATTGGCACACAAAGACACTATATGGATAATAGTACAACCAATATTTATCCATAACCAGTTATTTTACACATGTATATTTATAAAATAAAAATCCCACTCTCACTACTTGACTTCTCACTTTGATGTGCTTATCATGGTTAGAATTTGGAAAAGGGAAAATATTATATGGATACTGTTCAAAATGTGTAGTTATGAGACTTTCTAGTATTTTTCTGTTCAGTAGGATTTGTAACATTTTAATCCTTTTGATAATTTACTTTAACAAATTGTTGTTGCAATCGTGCAATTTTATCCAAGCATATGGATCCTCTTGCAGGTCTCTGGGATCTATATTGTGCCATTGTTCAGTAAATAAAGGTCTGATCATAAATCAGCATTTATTGGCTTAATTTAATCTTCAGAGTGCTTTCTTTTGTAGGAGGTTATGTAGGATATCCTGTTACCTTTTAATATGTGTTTAATGCAAAATTTACAATATGTTATACATACTGTACAAGGTGCAATTTATTAAGATTTTAAATTATTAGAAATACTAATATTTACAAAAGGAAATGGTGAATGTTGGATCTTTTTCATTCACTTGATTGAAACACTTTTACTTTAAAACCAAAAATCTTGTTAAATCTATGTAGTTGGCAAGGTGAAAATATAGATTTTTTTCCTATGTTCATGTCATAATCATTGAAAGAACATGGGTAAAGCCAATGCCATATAATTAAGGAGAAAAACTAGGCAAAATTGGGGTTCAATCCTGCAGAGTCTTATTCATAGCAATAGTCTTATTGAAAACAAGGCTTCTTAAGTGAGTGAAGTTCATTTGTGAGAGTTGGAGTTTGCAGGATCAGACAAAGCTTCGTGATACAGCTGAATCCATGTTTTAACAAATAAGGAGACATCTGGATTTAAATGCAGATATTTTGAGCTGGACTCCAGTAGAATCTTAGTCCTTTCTCAGTTATTGTGACTTCATCCATATATTTGCTCACTGATAATGGTCCGAATCCTGCTCCCATTGAAGTCAAAGGGAGTTTTGTATTCCATAAATTAAGTAAAATGTATTGATTTTTTTTTAACACTCTTTGCCTGTATCTGTCAAATTTGGACTCTTATGTATGCTAATCTCTGTGTTTTTAGCCAGTAATTCTTACCTGTTAGAACAATATGGTGAGATAACACTGTTGAATGCTCAGTATAAATTATTAGTTATTTTCTTTTGGCCAAAACAGTTATTTAGACAAATCTGTTTTATAGGAAACAAGTTTATACACTACTTTGGGAAAAGGTTGATGTCTTATAACATTATTCAACTTCTAACCGCAGTTTGCAGTTTTAATCAAATTTGTGGATTTTGTTGTTGTACTCAGGATGCTGGTTCCCTTGATACTGTGTGCAGCTCTCATGACAGGAAGTGGTGAAATTCAAGGTGATGAATGGATTGACCCCACAGATATGCTCAATTATGATGCAGCTTCAGGAACAATGAGAAGACCTGCCAAGGTTAAAAAAAGAGTCTGTGTCTCTGTATATTACTCATAAGAATGTATGTCAAAAGAACATGATTAATTCAGCACCATTATGAGTATGCATTATGCTCATGATTACATACTGTTTTTTTCCACAGGACCGCTATTCTCAGTTCTGGTGCCCAGCCCAGCCTGCAACAGCTGACTATTGCAAATGCCCTGGCTGGAGCATGCCCACTGAGAAAGGAAGCTTTGGGGGATTTAGCTGCAAAGTTCTAGCAAGTCTGCTGAGCATGTGCTAACTGTGATTTTTAAACATCTTATAACTTGGCCAAATTGGGGTGGATTTTCGTGGGCACAGCAAAAGGTACTTCACAGACACAAAGGACACCTCCCTGCCAAATTTCAAGTCCCTGCTCCAGAGCATGGGTTCACTAGGGGATCTCAGAGAACAGGATGTCAGGACTTAACAGGGGTAAAACAACATATTTTTCCCTAGCCTCATTCTCAGAAATGGGGCAACTGTTTTAGTTGAAATTTCCCAAAAAACTCAGTTTGAGGCAGACACTTTCATTGGAACCAAGTTTGCAGGCAGGAACAGAAGAGTTGGAAGGGGCCAGTGAGGGGTGGGATCTCTGGATTTTGGTAGGGCCGAACAACCTTGTCTGTTTCATCTCTGTTACTTATGATAGAATAATCTCAGCAAATCTCTGCAAAGTTTTCCTCCTCCTGATCTCTATGGGTATGTCTACACTACGAAATTAGGTCGAATTTATAGAAGTTGATTTTTAGAAAGCAATTTTATACAGTTGATTGTGTGTGTCCCCACTAAGCACATTAGGTCGGTGGAGTGCGTCCACAGTACCAAGGCTAGTGTCGACTTTCAGAGCGTTGCATTGTGGGTAGCTATGCCACAGTTCCCGTAGTCTCTGCCACCCAGTGGAATCCTGGGTTAAGCTCTCAATGCCTGATGAGGCAAAAACATTGTCGCGGGTGGTTTTGGGTACATGTCGTCAGTCACCCCTCCCTCCGTGAAAGCAACAGCAGACAATCATTTTGCACCTTTTTTCTGTGCGGGTGCCATACTGCTTTCAGCAGACGGTGCAGTAGGACTGCTAACCGTCGTCATCGAACCACCGCTTCCGCTGCCACTCTGCTCTCCTGCTTTTGTCTCAATAGCAGATTTCTCCATGTTGTGTCTCATGGGCTCCCACTTCCACTACAACTCTGCTCTCCTGCTCTCATGAATCCTCCTTCACGTCGTCAGCCACCGCTTCCGCTACGGCTCTGCTCTCCTGGTGGTCTCACAGGGCTGCTTCCACTGCAACTCTGCTCGGCTGCTCTTGTCTCTCCATAACACCGCAAGCGTGCAGCCCGCTCAGCTGTTGTGTCCTGGCAGTAGACGGTGCAGTAGGTCTGCAAACCATCGTCATTGAATGACCGCTTCCGCTGTCACTCTGCTCTCCATGCTTTCCGTGTATGGTGTCTGCAGGAGCCTGCTCAGATCACCGCGGCAGTTATGAGCATTGTAAACACCTTGCACATTATCATGCAGTATATGCAGAACCAGAACCCGCAAAAGCAGGCAAGGAGGCGATGGCAGCACGGTGATGAGAGTGATGAGGACATGGACACAGATTTCTCTCAAAGCACGGGCCCTGGCAATTTGGCCATCTTGGTGGCAATGGGGCAGGCTCATGCCATGGAACGCCGATTCTGGGCCCGTGAAACAAGCACAGACTGGTGGGACCACATAGTGTTGCAGGTCTGGTATATTCCCAGTGGCTGCGAAACTTTTGCATGCATAAGGGCACTTTCATGGAACTTTGTCGCTTGTTTTCCCCTGCCCTGAAGCACAAGAATACCAAGATGAGAGCAGCCTTCACAGCTCACAAGCGACTGGTGATGGGCCTCTGGAAGCTTGCAACACTATAGACAGCTATCGGTCAGTAGGGAATCAATTTGGAGTGGGCAAAGCTACTCTGCGGGCTGCTGTGATCCAAGTAGCCAACGCAATCACTGAGCTGCTACTATCAAGGGAAGTGACTCTGGGAAATGTTCAGATTATAGTGGATGGCTTTGCTGCAGTGGGATTCCCTAACTGGTGAGGCGATAGACGGAACACATATCTCTCTCTTGGAGCACCAAGGCAGTCAGTACATGAACCGAAAGGGGTACTTTTCAATGTTGCTGCAAGCACTGGTGGATCACAAGGGACATTTCACCAACATCAACGTGGGGTGGCCAGGAAAGGTACATGACGCTTACATCTTCAGGAACTCTGGTCTGTATGAACAGCTGCAGCAAGGGACTTACTTTCCAGACCAGAAAATAACCGTTGGGGATGTTGAAATGCCTATAGTTATCCTTGGGGACCCAGCTTACCCCTTAATGCCATGGCTTATGAAGCCATACACGGGCACCTTGGACAGTAGTGAGGAGCTGTTCAACTATAGGCTGAGCAAGTGCAGAATGCTGGTAGAATGTGTGTTTGGATGTTTAAAAGTGCGCTGGCGCAGTTTACTGACTCGCTTAGACCTCAGCGAAACCAATATTCCCATTGTTATTACTGTTTGCTGTGTGCTCCACAATATCTGTGAGAGTAAGGGAGAGACGTTTATGGCAGGATGGGAAGTTGAGGCAAATCGCCTGGCCGCTGATTATGCGCAGCCAGACACCAAGGGGGTTAGAAGAGCACAGCAGGGCGTGCTGCACATCAGAGAAGCTTTGAAAAACAGTTTCATGGCTGACCAGGCTACAGTGTGGCAGTTCTGTTTGTTTCTCCTGGATGAAAACCTGCCCCCTTGGTTCATTCTACTTCCCTGTAAGCCAACCGCCCTCCCCTCCCCCCTTCGATCACCGCTTGCAGAGGCAATAAAGTCATTGTTGTTTCAAATTCATGCATTCTTTATTAATTCGTCACGCAAATAGGGGGATAACTGCCCAGGTAGCCTGGGAGGGGTGGGGTAGGAGGGAAGGACAGGGTCCCACTGTACTTCAAAACTTATTGAATGCCAGTCTTCTGTTGCTTGGGAAGTCCTCTGGGGTGGAATGGTTGGGTGCCCGGAGCGTACGTGCGCCGCCCCGGCATGTTCTTGGGTGTCTGGGTGAGGAGGCTATGGAACTTGGGGAGGACGGCGGTTGATTACACAAAAGCTTCAGTGGTGGTCTGTGCCTTTCCTGCACCTCAACCGTACGCTGGAGCATATCAGTTTGCTCCTCCAGTAGCCTAAGAATTGTATCCTGCCTCCTCTCATCATGCTGCTGCTAACTTTCCTCTTGATCCCGCCGCCTCTCCTGTTGCTCCCGCCACCTGTCCTCTCATGTGTCCCTCCTGTCCTCGCGTTCATTTTGTGCTTTCCTAGAGTCTGCCATTTTCTGCCTCCACGCGTTCTGCTGAGCTCTTTCAGTTTGGGTGGACTGCATGAGCTCAGAGAACATTTCGTCGTGAGTGCGTTTTTTTCGCCTTCTTATTTGCGCTAGCCTCTGGGACGGAGATGCTAGTCGCAGCGTTGAAACATTTGCAGCTGTGGGAGGAAAAAAGGGGAGAGTAAAATTGAAAAAGACACATTGGCCATTTAAAAGGAGGGGCTGATGTTTTCGGGTTAGCACTAACATGCAGCACTAACTCCCCCCCCCCCACACACACACACACACAATTCTCTGGAATGATTGCTTCATCCCTCCCTCCCACCACGTGGCTAACAGCAGGGATAATTTCTTTTCAGCCACAGGCAAACAGCCCAGCAGGAACAGCCACCTCTGAATGTCCCCTTAATAATGTCCCTGGAGGATTTCTGCCCCATCCTCAGACATGTTAACAGACTTTTTGCCAGTAGCTGTACTGGCTGTGAATGCATCCCAAATCTTCAGGGCAAAGTAATCATTAAACATGCTTGCTTTTAAACTGTGTATTATATTTACAAAGGTACACTCACCAGAGCTGCCTTTTCCGCCTTCAAGGTCCGGGAGCCCGAGTTGGGAAGGTATTGGATCATGGTGATAAACAGTTCCTGGCTGTTGGGGAGAATGGTTTCTCCGCTTGCCTGGTGTGTTCTATGTTCAACCTCCCCCTCCTCATCATCATCTTCCTCGTCCCCAAAATCCTCATCCCTGTTGCGTGAGACTCCCCCCTTGCAGGAGTCCATGTACAGGGGTGGGGCAGTGGTAGGACACCCCCTAGAATTGCATGCAGCTCATCATAGAAACGGCATGTCTGGAGCTCTGACCCCGAGTGGGCGTTTGCCTCTTGGGTTTTTTGGTAGGCTTGCCTAAGCTCCTTAAGTTTCACATGGCACTGCTGCAGGTCCCTGTTATAGCCTCTGTCCTTGGTGCCCTTGGAGATTTTTTCAAATATTTTGGCATTTTGTCTTTTGGAACGGAGTTCTGATAGCACGGATTTGTCTCCCCATACAGCAATCAGATCAAGTACCTCCCATTCGGTCCATGCTGGGTCTCTCTTGCGATTCTGGGCTCCATGGTCACCTCTGCTGAGGACATCTGCATGGTCACCTGTGCTGATCAGCTTGTCACACTGGCCAAACAGGAAATGAAATTCCAAAGTTTGCGGGGATTTTCCTGTCTACCTGGCCAGTGCATCTGAGTTGAGAGTGCTGTCCAGAGCGGTCACAATGGAGCAGTCTGCGATAGATCCCAGGGGCCAATACCGTCGAATTGCATCCACACTAACCCAAATTCGACCCGGCAATGTTGATTTCAGCACTAATCTCCTCGTTGGGGAGGAGTACAGAAATCGATTTTAAGAGCCCGTTAAGTTGACAAAAATGGCTTCGTTGTGTGGATGGGTGCAGGGTGAAATTGATCTAACACCGCTAAATTCGACCTACACTCGTAGTGTAGACCAGGGCTATGTTTTTCCACTGGAGGGGGTAAGTCTGTTTCCAAACAAGGACATTGGATTTACATGAAACAGCAATATGTTTTGCTGCCACTTTACACTGAGAAATGAGAGATTTCTTTGGGCATGAAAAATTATGTTTGGGGAAGCTTCATGTTGTAAAGTGTATAATGTAATCCGAATACTTCGGAAAATATTTACACAAACTGCCGTTAGTAAGCTAATATGGTATTTAATCAAGGATGCTATTAGTTCTGAATATACATCTTGGGGACATTTGCCATTTTGCCTTTAAATTTTTACAGTGAAATTCCTTTTAATTAAAGTAATATTGGCAAGTGTGTCAAGCTTTGGAGAATCTGAGCTCCTACTTGTATTAAAGTCAGTGGGAGTTTTGCTACTTACTTCAGTGGGAGCCAGAACACAGAATCACAGAGGATTATCCTGCGACCCCATCCATCTGCTCTTTTTTCAGCATGTCTCTGCTGCTCTTGTTTGAGGGGATTTATAGGAAGGCTGTGTGGACTAAAATTCAGTTGGTTTCAATTCTTCAGTTAGGCTTCTTTTCTTTCTACATTTTGTTGTATTGGATAAGATGACCTGATTGATTAAAAGATAACATCAGCCTGCATTAACCAAAATCTTGCCTAGAACTATAATATGAATAATTTTTTCTTTGCTCTATCTGCAGGTAAATTATGACGACTCTGAGGATAGGGAGGTACCAGATGCTGTTATGAACTTGCCAAGCATTGCAGCAGTATCAGAGTGCCATAGGAAATTAGAATCCTTAATTCAGAAGGTTGGCTTATAGCTTTATATTCATTCAGAACACTATCAGGAAATCTAAAATATTTCCTATCTTTTTACATCATTTACATGTTTTTCTATAATCATCAGAAATGTTTGCTTGGAAAAGGTGAATTAGCAGAGGATCAGTCTGTTTTTTGGGGGGGGGCGGGTTGGGGTGCTGATTAAAGCCATTCAATTAATTTTTTGTGCAGTCATATTTGATATTTCAGCGTTTTAATTTGACTCATCTGCTACGTCTCTGGATATCCATGTACTGTCTGTTGTATTTTTGGGTTATTTTAGAAAGGTATTGACAGGAAAGCAACACTCAAAATGTATGCTTTGTGTGTGATTGCCCAATTTTAAAAAAACAAAACAAAGCCCAGAACACACACACACTTTGACAATCCTAATAGAAATATGTACATGAAATTTTAAACTTTAATGGGAGAATAGATTTTTTTGGTTGGAATTAAATCTTCTTCCCATCAGTGCTGGCAACTAAACTGTTGGAGCATTGTTAGTTGTGGGAACTAAAAAGTTAAACTGACTAGAAACAAGGAAAATTGAGCTACCTCTCTTTCACTGTGTCTGTGTGTAATATGAAAAATGGGGAGAGGACTAGTGGTGTGAGCGGTTTGTCAGGAGCAGGGTCACAACACATAGGCTTGTGGAGGTTCTAGGCAACGTTGCAGCCCTTAGGGCAGCCCCAGAAGACTGCTGTAACTTAGGCTAGCTCACAGGGCTGTCTAAATTATGCGGGGAGCCTTTCCATCCAGAGTAGCTCAGGATCATCAGGAACTGCAAATATGGCTTAAAGCCACGTTGGCCATGTAAATGCTTCCCCAACCCATCTCACCCCAGGTTGAGAGTTCTGTGCTGTGCCCTTTTAGATCTCACTTAATACATAACTGATTTTTATAACTAAACTGATACAGATTTTATTCTGATTTAAACTTCAGACTATTGAGGGATGAGCAAATATTTAGTTTTTCTAGTCCAAGGGATAAACTGAGGTTAAGATTCAGACCACATCATCAGAGGGTTAAAAGTCTACAACATTTATGACTTTGAAACAAGTGCCATGGAAAGTAGCGTGCCAGCTGTTGTTCTTAAGTACTTTACTATGATTTTATGTGATACATTAGCGGTAACAAGTTTATATTAGGCTATAGGAACTTGTTTCATTCACTGGAAACTGTATTCATCCTTTGCTTAACTAATGAGTCATGAGTGGAAGATTGTAATTTAGAATTTGCTTTATTGCTCCAGATTGAAGAGTATGAGAAGAAAGAGAAGACCAAGTTAAGTGAAAGCCATAGCATTCATGTTTTTAGGAGATACTTGAATAAGATTTTAATTGAAGCTGGAAGACTTGGCCTTGTGAGTATTCAAATGTTAGTGAAAATATGGTAGAATTTTAACTGCTACTGTATATATTTTTCATTATTACAAATCAAAACAACATGGTGATTTAAGTATTCCAGTTACTCCAAACTAAGACAAATAAGATAAAGGGAATCGTAGTGAAAAGACATTTTACAGATTAAATTACGCTACATTAAATTAAAATACGTACAGTAAAATAATGTACCTGCAACCCTAGCCCTCTCGTGCCCAGTTTGTCCACAGCTGCAGAGGGAGCCCACATGAAGCTGGGCTGCATGCTAATTGAAGGTGTGCACTCCCCATGCAGCCTTCCTAAGTGCTGCCCTCCTGTTTGGAAACAGAACTGAAGCCTTTCAATGAACAGAGAGCCCTCTACACCTGCGGAGATGTGAGCAAGATTTGCCATATGGAGAAGAGAATATAGCCAACATAATTTAGAAAGTATTCAAAAGGAGATGATTGACGTTCAGAATACTTATGTATCAGTCCACTGATATGATGCAGCCACTGCTATGATGCAGCCACTGCTGAGACAATGCACATGCTCCCTGCGGTTTAAGAGACAAGTTCTGTTCAGTCTTTTTGTCGTTTGACAATTCCAGGGCATTAATTCACTTGTTTACAGGAGCTTGCATAAAACAAGGTCACTCAATTAGTGATCATTTCATTTTGATGTTTTTGGATGTAACTTTTACCTTATTCTGAGGCAGAGAGAGAATTTTTTCTTAAGTATAAGCAAAACAATCAGTTAACAGCATTGTGACGGGTTGGGTCACAGAGACCCCCTTGAGATTGCCACCTGAAGTGCTGAGACTACCTCTGAGCCCATTTTTCCTGCCAGCTTGGGACTTCAGTACCCTGTCTTGTTGAGCCAGACACGCTAGCCTGCTACAAACACAGACCCAGGTCTGAACCATGTCCCCCAAAAGCTGCAGACTTAACTAAAAACAGTTTAAGAAGTGCTCCTGTCTCTGGCACCCAGCTCCCAATGGGATCCAAACCCCAAATAAATCCGTTTTACTCTGTATAAAGCTTATACAGGGTAAACTCATAAATTGTCCGCCCTCTATAACACTGATAGAGAGAGATGCACAGCTGTTTGCTCCCCCAGGAATTAATTACTTACTTTGGGTTAATTTATAAGCAAAAAGTGATTTTATTAAGTATAAAAAGTAGGATTTAAGTGGTTCCAAGTAATAACAGACAGAACAAAGTAAGTTACCAAGAAAAATAAAACAAAAACACCCAAGTCTAAGCCTAATACATTAAGAAACTGATTACAGATCAATCTGATCCTCAGAGATGTTCCAATAAGCTTCTTTCAAAGACGAGATTCCTTTTTAGTCTGGGCCCAGTCTTTCCCCTGGTACAGCCCTTGTTCCAGCTCAGGTGGTAGCTAGGGGATTTCTGTAGCCTCCTTTGTTCTGTTCTACCCCCCTTATATAGCTTTGGCACCAGGCGGGAATCTTTTGTTTCTCTGGGTCCCCACCCCTCTTTCTAAATGAAAAAGCACCAAGTTTAAGATGGATTCCAGTACCAAGTGACATGGTCACATGTCCTGTGAGACCCCAAGGCTTCATTCTTCCTGGCCTGACTCACAGGAAGGGTTGCAAGTAAACAAAGCCATCTATAGTCAATTGTCCTGGTTAATGGGAGCCATCAAGATTCCAAACTACCATTAATGGCCACACTTTGCATAATTACAATAGGACCTCAGAGTTATATTTCGTATTTCTAGTTTCAGGTACAAGAATGATACATTTATACAAATAGAATGACAATACTCAATAGATTATAAACTTTGTAATGATACCTTACAAGAGACCTTTTGTATAAAGCATATTCCAGTGACATTATATTCACCCTTATTATCATATTTTCATAAAATCATATGGAGTGCAAAGTCACCAAGCATTACCAGAAAGAAGCACATGATAACGTTTCTTAAGGAGCAGTGAGCGCTTCTGCCTTTTTGTACTAAAGTATTCACCAGTGAACAATGCCATTTTTCTCTCTCAATCCTTCCAGCTACAAATTGGACTTTCTAGTCTGTTTGAGAATAGATTAGCTGTTAATACCTGCAAGTGGAGAGGTATTTTGAAATCCTAATAAAACATTATTTAACATGTTTCAGAGTAACAGCCGTGTTAGTCTGTATTTGCAAAAAGAAAAGGAGTACTTGTGGCACCTTAGAGACTAACCAATTTATTTGAGCATAAGCTTTCGTGAGCTACAGCTCACTTCATCGGATGCAAGTGAGCTGTAGCTCACGAAAGCTTATGCTCAAATAAATTGGTTAGTCTCTAAGGTGCCACAAGTACTCCTTTTCTTTTTGCAGATAGCAAATGTGACTCTGATCTTGCAGACTGACCCATACAGAAAGATAATTATGACCATGCATAATTCGGGCTCATCCTTAGGACTCCATATGGTAATATGGGTCTCTTTGCATAGATGAGGTATACTGCAGGTTTGAGGAAAATCAGGTAATTCTCCATACTTTTGTCTTTCTGATAGATTTCGTATTGCAGGTCGACTGTTTAACTGTTTTTTTGTGTTGCTTTCATTTAGCCTGATGAAAACATTGGTGATGTGCATTATGATGCTGAGATCATCCTTACAAGTCAGGCTCTTTTGGAGATCAACAGATTTCTGAATGAGGAGGACTGGAAATCAGGCGCTTTGGATGATGCAGTTAGTGATATTCTGATTAATTTTAAACATCATGATTATGAAGTTTGGAAATGGAGGTTTGAGGACACTTTTGGAGTTGATCCATATAATTTGCTTATGGTAAGAAAAAAGGGATTCTCTGTACTTTTTTATTCTCCAGTGTTCTTTAATAGGCCAGCCCAGTCGCTGAGTATAGCCTTCTACCAGTAGATGGGGATCAAAATAAATTAAATTTATGATGCTCTTCCCCTCATAAAGTGCTGCCTGAGCATTCCTCACTTCTTCCATCTCAGCAGGTGAAGATGACGTATCTGCCCAAATTAGGCATTTTTAACTTTGTTTTTCCTCCTACCTTTTTCTTATAACTTTTTTCTGCTTGAAATTATCACTTGGCCTCACAGTTGTTTCTCTTTATTCTCCATCTTTTGGATCTGTATGTGGATTGGCCCATTGAGTTGGGCATCTTTCTTAGTCCTAGATTTCCAGGTCCAGATATTGGATCTTAAGCTATAGGGTTTCAGACACACCTTTAGGGGCAGTAGTTTGGACTCTGTTGATGCAGCCCTTGGGATTGAGCTATATAATGTGCTTGCTCCTGGTGAGAGAGGAGAAATATTAGTTTAAATGTTGCCACTTTTAGTAGTTCTGTGTCTTTAGATTTAATCATATATGAAATTTTAAAATGTAGATTTTGAGTTAATCATGAATAGAGAGGTATAATTCCACTGAAGGTCTGGTGAATTAATAAACCATAAATTTAAAATAAAAATCCATGTATTGGATTGTTAATTATTCTTTATCCCACTCATCATGTCCCGGTGGTGCTTTAACCTCCCTCTTCAATGGTCTTTTTCTGCGATGCCTCTCTTTTTCCCCCTGCAAAGTCCCATAGAGGAGCCTTGCTGCTGCTTTCTTATTCTGCTTAAACCACTGGCAGAATAGGTTTGCCTCACTGCCCTGCTGCAGATGCTGGAGTGGTGATTTTCTGTTAATAACCACCAGACATTTTGCTGCTCCAGCACTGATTTTTTTTTTTAACTCTTGTACTTTGCCATTGTAACAATTCCATCACACTGAAAATGTTAAATGTAATTGAAAATAGTGAGAGATTTTTTTTTGGAATGACCTTTAAAGTCAGGAAAAAAATTCCTTTTCCCACAGTGCAGAGGATGTGCTCTGAAAAAGAGGCAACAATCTCGTAACATGAATGTATTTGGATGAATTGGATCTGTTCCCTGTTTTCTCAAGATTTCTGTTCCTTCTGATGTTCCTTCCTTTTTGTTCAGTCCCATAAGGCATCTATCCATTCCTTTCTCAGTGCCTTTTTCTTTTTTTCCTCATTCATTCCTGTCCTCATCCTCTCATCACTTTCCCCTTTACAATATAAATCCACTGTAGTGTCCAGATCCAGCAATTTCATTTTAGCAAATTCCACATTGGTCCCTGACAGCTTGTATCATTTCCTGTGGGGCCTGGTTTTTCAAAGTGCTGTTCTGCTCTTTTTTCTTTTTTTTTTTAAATTAAACTCATAGACACGTAGACATTAAGGTCAAAAGAGACCATCATGATCATCTAGTCTGACCTGCACATTTCAGGCCACAGAATCTAACCCACCCACTCCTGTAATAGACCCCTAACATCTCGCTGAGTTATTGAAGTCCTCAAATCATAATTTAAAGACTTCGGGTTACAGAGAATCTGCTATTTTAAACCTGCAAGTGACCTGTGCAAAAAAATCCCATGGTCTCTGCCAATCTGACCCAGGGGAAAATTCCTTCCTGACCCCAAATATGGTGATCAGTTATACCCTGAGCATGTGGGCAAGACCCACCAGCCTGATACCTGGGAAAGAATTATCTGCAGTAACTCAGAGCCCTCCCCATCTAGTGTCCCATCACTGGCCGTTGGAGATGTTTGCTGCTAGCAGTTTCAAATTGGCTACATTCCATTGTAGGCAGTCTCATTGTACCATCCCCTCCATAAACTTATCAAGGTTAGTCTTCAAGCTAGTTAGGTAAATGAAGCTGAAAAAGAGAAGTTTGTAATTCTCTCATTTTACTGGCAATAGGCTTGAAAAACTCCAAATCTGGTTCATGACTTTTCCCCTCTCATTTCCTTTTCAGGTACTCTTGTGTTTGGTGTGCATTACAGTAACTGTAGCTACTGAGCTATGGACACACATTGGTTGGTGTACTCAGGTAAAACGCATTTTATTCATCAGTTTTCTCATCAGTTGTGGATGGAACTGGATCTACTTATATAAGGTAAATTAATCAGAAATCCTGGCTCTGTTTTTTAATAGTAAACTTTTAAACCATGATAATCCAGAGAGTTTGGGGATTATTTTTGTTACATTATAAAATACAGTTATTGATTGCCAAAGTGAATACTGTAATGGAGACTTCAGATTGCACAAATTATGACATTTAGATTAAAATCCTTGCTTCTCCTCGCTGCAATGGAACACAGAGTTCAAAAGGCAGTGGCGCCATCATAATTCCACTACAGAGGATTTGAAGACTGTATGTGACTCTCCAAAGCATCATGGTGGGAGGGATTTAGAAAGTGGCTAATTGATCTGAGTACTACATTGATTCACTGGCTAAAACCTTATATAGTGGGTGTATACTATACAGCAGCTGCTGCTAAAGCCTAGAGCTTCAGTAATTGTCATAGAGCAGCCGATTGTACCTTGGGTTGTGTTAGGGTAAGGATTCTATTTCTTCAGCTCCTACCTAAAAATCCCCGCACAAAGCACATTTACTTCGGCTCTGCCCAGGTATGAGGCTTTGGTCCTTAATATGATTTTGAGAGTTTAGTTTATCGTTAGGTCAATTTAAAACAAAATGGTCCGACCTCTGATGTGCTTTGGCGTCTTTGGTCAAGAAAAGTCTCATGCAGATGCGCATTTTAGAGGTACCCCATCAATTTAAAAATTACACTTTATTCAAAAGATTTTTACCTGCTCTTGTTACAAATTACATCTACATTTATTATAATAGAGGTTTGAGGGAGAGGAAAAAGAAAAGGAGTACTTGTGGCACCTTAGAGATTAACAAATTTATTTGAGCATAGGCTTTCATGAGCTACAGCTCACTTCATCGGAGAGGGAAATTCTCCCATTGTCCAGTTTGTTCATTTTATGCATGTTTCCCTGTATAGTCAGTTTCTCTATTTGAAATTTTATGTGGTCTTTTACACATCAGCAGAGGGAGAAAAACATTTTTAAAATTGGAAAATATGGTTATAAGACCACAAAAATTGGGGTATTCAGGGCAGTTGAGACACTTTTTTCACTCTTAAACTATCCCTTTAAATTAATGTCTAATAAAATTCTTTGCACCAGTCTAGAGTTAAAAATAATGTAATGAAACTCTTTGAACTGAAGTCAGTTAAGAAAATAAACTACTTTTCCATTTATGTTGACCTATGAAAGGAACAAATTTGCTATAAGGATACTTTGAAAAGCACACTAAATGAATAGGGTTACTGCTTGCTGCAGACTCCTCTCCATAGAAGTGTTTCACTGCTCTTTCACGTGTGTTACGGGTCTCCATATTTTCTGTATAATCTATGTTGCAGATAATTGACCAGTAGAGGGGCCTTCCATAGATCCAAAGGAGGGTGGAAGTAAAGAGAAAATATATTTTTATTCCCTAATAGTGCCCATTACTTAGTGGGTACTACTATTATTATTTATTACGAGTTTAATTCTACGGTGAAAAACACAGTCCACTTTCTACCAATGTTCAGTAATCTTTTGTTGATCTCTCTTAAAATAAACTATGCATTGTATCCATTATTTCAAGTAGCTAATATCCATAACACTTTGAAAATCTTATATTTGATCACATGTAGCAACAAAGGGTAGATCTCAAAATAGACTGCGTTTATTGAAATATTGTATGGATTGTTGCAGACTAAAACTGCAATGAAAATTAGCACAAGTATGATTAGTACACTTCCGTTCAGAAATATTGTTGGGGTAATGTCTTTTTGAAGATATAGCTGCCTCAATTAGGATGTTGCTTATTTTGAACTGAGCCAACCGAATGCTGCATGCATTGACAAATCTTTCTGCTAGAACAGTGCTGCATGTTGGGTACAATTGGGAGCTTAAATTAGTTTATAACTTATTTTATCGTGTGTAGCCAGATGTAGTAGAATATGGGTTCTCAACCATTTTTGCTTCTGCAACTTACTTTCCTTTTGTGACACTATTATCTCAGAATCCTTTGTGCTATCTTCACCAACCCCCCAATGTTGTAATACCAAATAATGGTTTTGTAAAATTCATGGTCATATAATCACAAATAGAAATTTCCATTCAGTGTATGTACCTTTCATCCAGATTAAAGTTATTTACAGTCAGAAGGATCTCTTGCAGCCAGAGGAGCTAGAAACTTTTTTTAATGAAGTGTACATTCTGCAGAACACTCCAGAAACCCCAAAATGCAGTTTCACCAACTTCGGTGTTGCAATCCAGTATGGTAACCCATTGCTTTATGCAGGAGCTTAGGGGGACTTTCTTTCAGAGTTACAGTTTTTACTGTAACTATAATTATGTGAGCAGTGTTAACATCTAAAATTTGAAAATAATTTAAAAAACTGATTGTTTCTCTGGAAACAATAGAAATGTGCCTGGTTTTGTTTCTGAAAATGGTAAGAAGTTCTTGGTGTTTCAATTCTTTCTGTACCTGCCTCTTAATCCAGTAATATTGGTGTGGGTGGTGAGTGTTTGGCCCAGTTTCAGAAATTGTGTTATATTTAACTAACACTTCCTTATTGTGAAGGAAGCAGTCAGTGCCTTTTGACTAGCTAAAAATTATTATTATTCTCCCTATTCAGGAATCATAGGCTTTTGCTGAATTTGATTTGCTGTGGTGTTTTGCATTTGCAGATTCTTTTATTTTTAATACATTTTAGGCAACTTTTTGGTTGATGGCAGAAAGTTAAAATAATAGTCTTTTATTCAGTGTAAACCGCTTTTACAAAGGTTAATTCTGGTTCTGTTGCAGATAGCCTTTGCACAGCATCAAGCTGAAGTGGCCAAAATGGGAAATTATGACAAAGTATGTGATGAGAAGCTGGACTGGAGTGAGAGTCTTTTTGGTGAGATGTTTGTAGTTACGTTTCCCTTCTAATACTTTTTATCTAAAGAAAAACTAGCAAACCGTGATTAAATGAGACACAAGCCAGTGCTGGCATCACCCTAGAAGTAGCTTTTTTTATTTCATTTTTTACTAATCTTGCATTACAAATTCTCTTATCATATAACTAGGTAAGCCAGCCACTGCTTTATCTAACACATAATTAGCATGCTATTGTATTGGGTCTTTAAAATTATTAGATGCAGGCTTATCACAAGCTATTTTATGGTATGTCACCTCCTCCTGCGTTTAAACTTCTCCTTGCACTGACTAGTAGAATCTGTATCTGAAATATCTCTCTCTATCCCATGAATGTTCCACAGCTGTCCTTTACGGTTCAGTATACAGTATCTTAAACTAAGGAAAGGAAAATCCTCTTGGCTTGGATTCCACTTTTCTATACTCCAGTTATATCACTCTATGTGAATACATGGGCTGCAGTAACTCACCAACACAATCATACAAAAATATTCTCTTTATTTCAAACTATAACTAGATATTTTTGCAGCACGCATCCAGTTACTTTACATAGTAAATGGCTGAGCTTATTTATCTTAAGAAACCTTACAAGTTTAAAATATTGCATACACTTTTGTAAAACCATCCATGATGGATAGCAAGAAAGAATTACTTTTGCTGCCTACAGAAATGTTAGCAACCATATCTTTTTGTTAGGAATAAAGCAGCGTCCATCCAGCTCTGCAACTTACTAGGCACAGCAGTGATGGATTATTAAGGGGAGGAAAATGCACTCCAAAGCCTTGCCACTTGTCCTGGGGAGTTCAGTAACAAACATCAGTAGCCTCTAAGAGATCTGAATTGTTATTGTGGAGTGAGGGTGAAAGTGAAAGTTTGGTTGCAGATAATGTAAAGTTTAAAAGATAATTATCAACCCCTGGAATTGCACCTGAAAACATGTAGGAAACTAATACGGAGACTAGGGGTATGTGTACATTGTGCTACAGTACAGACTATAAGGGTCAGAATTTAGAGCTCATCAAAGTGTTATACACTAACTGCCCTGCGTGGATACTGCTGGTGCAAACTAAAAGATGCCTAGTTTGGTTAATGTAGTCCTCTTTCAAACAGGGCTGTGCCAATGCAAACTAGGTACTACAGAAACACCTGCGCCTGCATGGGAACTCCCCGGTCCAGCATGACCTTTCATGCATAGTGTGTGTGAGGTCACAGTGAGCAGAGGACAAAATGGTATCCTCTGTGTGACAAAAGTTCTGGAACACCGTTCCAGCATGTTTCAGCTTTGACTCGGGGACCGACCTCTGCAGAACCCAGGGTGGACTCACAGAACTACAGGGACCCAACTTTGGGAACCACTGCTTTAAGGTACTGAACTAGGCAAATGCTACCTTCTTGTACACTTATGCCCCTCCACTATCACCCTTACCCAGTAGCTGGCTGAAGACAGAGCCAACCTTCTAACAATTACAAAACTACAAACTACATTTTAAAGCACCCCTCACAAATCCCAGTTCAGCATGGATATGCAAGAAATAACACTGAAAATGCCCCAAACTCCAGTGACAGTGTGCAACATGTGCCAGATATTTCATCATCTCTTTAGATCAGTGGTTCCCAAACTTGTTCTGCTGCTTGTGCAGGGAAAGCCCCTGGCAGCCCACGCCGGTTTATTTACCTGCCGGGTCCGCAGGTTCGGCCGATCGCGGCTCCCAGTGGCCGCGGTTTGCTGCTCCAGGCCATTGGGAGTTGCTGGGAGTGGCAGCCAGTATGTCCCTCGGCCTGCGACGCTTCCAGCAGCTCCCATTGGCCTGGAGCAGCTAACAGCGACCACTGGGAGTCGTGATCAGCCGAACCTGCGAACGCAGCAGGTAAACAAACCGGCCTGGCCCGCCAGGGGCTTTCCCTGCACAAGCGGCAGAACAAGTTTGGGAACCACTGCTTTAGACAATGTAAAAATTGGCAGACCTCATTTCCTCTTTCAGGACTATTTAGTGCCAAGTGTTGAAGTCTAAAAGAGGGCTAGGAAGGATTTAATGTTAAGAAAAGTTTTTCTTCCCCCAGCCCTCTTCTTTGCTTGGATAACTTTAATTTTCAACTAGATTGATGAGTTTTTAAAAAATATAATTAACTTCTGAGCTGAAACCAGGCATGAAAAATTTCAGTGAATTTTTCTATTGGATATAAAATGTAAATGCCACCTAATGCTTAATTACATCATTATAAAATACATTTGCATATATTTGTATTACTTTTGCTTTCTTTTAACTGTAGAATGGTTTAGAAGTTCATGGACATTCCAGGATGATCCTTGTCAGAAGTACTATGAAACAATACTAGTAAATCCCATTTGGCTAGTCCCCCCAACAAAGGTATATGCAGTTCGTAAAGAAACCATTCACCCTTCCATTTTGTATTTGGAAACTGAAGAAGAATCCTCATGTCTTGTTACTATTTCTTATTTTAGGCATTGGCTGTTACATTTACCAATTTTGTAACAGAACCATTGAAACATATTGGGCAAGGAATTGGTGAATTTATTAAAGCCCTTATGAAGGAGATACCAATGATGCTACAGATTCCAGTGTTAATCATCCTAGCTGTGGCGGTTCTGGTCAGTATATGTTCTTGATCACATTAGTGAAACCTAAAACAAAATGAATAGTTCAAATATCCATGATACACAAGATTACTAAAAGCAAAAAAAATCACTGATCTAAAGTTTTAGAAGCATTTGTGTATATAGATCTCAATAACAGTTTGGTAACATTGAGGCTAAAATTTTAAAGTTGTTATTTCTTGGATATTTTATTTTTTCTGTGATTTATTTGTTGATCTCCTGACTTAAAACATAGCAATGTGAATTTTTCTCCATATTCAAGATATGTTAACTATAAAAGTGCAAAAATAAAAAAGCTGTTATATTTTTAAAGATTATTTCTCAACTGGTATAAGCACAAAAATTATTTGATTTAAAATAGTTCAAAATCCCAGGCTGCATGATAAATGAAAATGGGTTTAGTTTCTCACCAGCTCTGGTTGGACCACATAATAGAACCTCTGCAGAAAGTGGTACTTTGTATTTGAGGACTGAGCTAGAATTAGCAGGTAGTGTTGCGGAGGCTTGCACCAAAAAACATACCAATACTGCAGCCAGCTCATACCCATACTGACCGACTATTGGAGAGCAGGACATTGTGAATTCCCATTGACTTTAAAAAATGAGACAGTAAAAATCTGAAAATATATTTTTCAGTAACCTTAAGGGTTGTAACAAAAGTATTGTTACAACCCTTAAGGTTACTGAAAAAAAGGTTACTGAAAAAAAGTAGGTAAATTTGTTCAGATGCATCAATTTAAGTTTGTTCCTAAACTCTGTTCCAAAGTAATGAAATTGTGTACTTTTTAAAAACCACTTTGTCAACTTGAGTAATTTTCTAAAGTAGGAAAGCTCTTGAGAAAATGATAAATCATACACTGAAATTTTCCCTTTAAACACTATTGTGTGGAAATGTAGAGATGTAAAAGTATCTCTGTAGAAAAAGAAGAAAACCATACAAGTTGTGAAAGTGAATGTCTGTTATACTTAAGGAGACAGTGTTTTTTCTTTAGGGTTTCTGCTATGGTGCAGGAAGATCAGTTGCTACACTAATACATTTAACAGGTCCTGAGCGGAAACCATCTCCTTCACTTCCTCCAAGTGACAGACAACAACAGGAACAAATACATTATAGTGCAGGTGATTCAGATGCCAATTACAGAAGGAATGTTGGTTCCCTCACTGGAGAACCTCATGACAGAAGAGATGATCACATGAGACTTCAAAATGGCAACAGAAGCTCTGAAGTTCTGCTGCCAGGTGGTACACTAAATGCACGAAGAGAAGAGCATCACAAGGTACCATCTAATGTACATTAACAATTGAGCATTTTAATAGCTATTCAAGCTAAGCCTATTTGCTATTTAACTTAACTGTACAGATTTTTCATGTTTAAAAAGATGGTGTAGTTTAACTAAGTGCTCCTCTAGAGCAGTTACCCGGTCATCTGAAAAACCACCTTAATTCCGTTCCCCTACAGATGTTCAGAGAGAATAAATTCCTATATGAAAGGATGGTATGTAGATTAATATTTCTGGTAATATATAGAATTCTGAAAGAACAAACACCATGGAGTATTAACCTTATTTAATGATAATGAGCTGAAGTGGCTTAAAAGTTTTTGAAAGTTGAAACCTTAGCAAGATTTCAGTATCTGTAGATCTAAATAACTCTTCATATGTGGTTTCTGAGTTCACTCCCAAGTCAGCCTATGAATGAGGATTGCAAATGAAAGGAACTGGAAAAAAAGAATTTAGACCAATCTGTAAATTGTATGTCAGATTTAATGTGTATTGTACATGAAACAAGTTCAGTTCATGAACGTTTCCTGAAATTAGAGATTTATTCACACTCTTCAAAAAATGCAAATTATGATATTCTTCATAGGTTTGGGGAGTCCTGCTTCTCAGTCTGATAACTTAGACCACTGCATAAAATACCAGCAGGTCTTAGGCTGCCTGCTCAGGTTAAATCACTTAATATATCCAATTAATTGTCCGAATAACACAGATTATCTATTTTACAGTGTGGATTGCACCCTGTGTCTCAAGATCAAACTATTTTTAGAGTGAAAACCAATGCAGATCAAAACTGTGATAAAGAGATTGCACCTGAAAAACATAAACTGCGCACGCTTGGAGTTGAACAAGAGTCTGAAAAGAATTGTGAACCTCAAGCAAGTTGTAGCTCAAAAAAGGAGAAAACAAATAAGCAAAACTCAATTGATAAAACAGGAGATCTTGAAAAGATGGAAAAGGGCAGTCCACCTCAATTAATGGAAGGCACAGAGGAAACTAAAGAATCTTTGAACTCTGCTGTAAGTTTTGTCTAAATTTTGATTCATGTGTGCTTTTCCTTTGTGTTTATATTTTTACAGTTACAATCACTGAACTAGATGTAGGCTTGGCAGAATTTGATTAAAAATAATCTATCTGAAGTTATCTTTTTTCATGATCAGTTTAAATTTTCACAGTTGTGGGAAGTTATGGGAATGTCAGACAATTCTTGATTGACAGACCTTGAGATTTAAAGTTAGTTTTATAATCATTAAGACAAATAAACATGTCAAAATAGCCTTATATAGGTTCTCAAGCAGCATTTTCTTCCTTTGCCTATGTGTAAATTTCAATTATTGATGGAAATACTTTTTCATCAGTTTGTAGTGAAATTGATGTTTGACATTTACTGATGATAAATCTAATCTTCCTAAACCAAACTATATGAGTGAGCTCATTTTGAGCCAAAATCAACACTACTTTGTTGGACATAGGTCCCCTTACGCAGGCACCTGTGCTTTTAGATTCCATCTGATAATATCTAGGAGTACTGACAAGCTGTACTTCTCAGAGCTGTTTTTATAGTGGAGCCTGTTACCATTACAGATTTGGAGGTTCTCCAGTTTCCACATCTGTTAAATAAGGATAATAATCCTATTGCTGTCTTTTAAATGGCCAAGAACTTGCTCTGAACTAATGCAAACTATGCACATTTTTTACACAGGTGAAATTTAGCTTCCAGTTCACGGTCTTTGGGCCCCCCTCCCTCTCAAATTTAACTTTTACTTTTGTTTTGAAGGTAGAGATTAAATACATAAAGTTCCAGAATGTTTCAACTAGAATTTCAAAATAAAACTTGGTTCTCTTAAAACCTGTCCTGGGTAAGCCCTGAAATGCTGTGTGTGACCCAGCCCTTCAGGGCCAGGTAATGGCCCACTTTGTGCTGGTATCACAGATTTGATTTAGGCTCAAATGTAACTTCTTCTATAGCATAGTTTGAGGGTTGTGTTTGCCACAGTCAGCTGAAGTAAACTAGATTGGAGGCTAGCACATTTAAAACAATTTTTAAATGCTGCTTTTCAATCCCCATCCAAATAGAGCTTACCATAAATTAAGTAAAAAAAAAATTTATCATAAAATATAAACATTAAGAACTATATAGTTTGAAATTACATTGTGTATAGATACACTAATGGCTTGTCTTGACTAAGACATGTTGATTTGCAACACAATTGCAAATCAGTCTTCAGGAAAATAACTAAAACTACAATGAAAATGGGTTTAGTTTCACACCAGCTCTGGTTGGACCGGGTAATAGAACCTCTGCAGAAACTGGCACTTTGTACTTGAGAGGACAGAGCTAGAATTAGCAGGGAGTGTTGGAGAGGCTTGCACCAAAAAACATACCCATCCTCCGACCAGCTCATACTCATACTGACCGACTAGTGGAGAGCAGGCCACTGTGAAGTCCCATTGACTTGAAAAAAATACTTTCAGGTTTGCCATCCCATTTTTTAAAATCTTTCAATTACAGTAATCTTAGGGGTTGTAACAAAAATAGGTAAATTTGTTCAGACACATGAAGTTTGTTCCTAAACTGTTCCAAAGTAATGAAATTGTGTACTTTTAAAAAACCACTTTGTCAATTTAAGAGTAACTTTCCAAGGTAGGAAAGCTCATGAGAGAATGGTAAATCATATACTGAAGTTTTCCCTTTACACACTATTGTGTTGAAATGCAGAGCTATTGACGTATCTCTGTAGAAAGTAAGAAGAAAACTGCAGTTTGCAAAAGTGAATACTTAAGGAGACAGTGTCTTCTCTTTAGGGTTTGTGCTATGGTGCAGGAAAATCACTTGCTACATTAAGAGATTTTAAAAGTCCTGAGCAGCAACCATCTCCTTCACTTCCTCCAAGTGACAGACAGCCCCGGGAACAAATACATTATAGTGCAGGTGATTCAGATGCCAGTTACAGAGGGAATGTTAGTCCCCTCAGTAGAGGACCTTATGACAGAGGAGATGCTCACATGAGACTTCAAAATGGCAGCAGCAGTCCTGAAGTTCTGCCAGCCGGTGATATACCAGATCCACAAAGAGAAGAGCATTACAAGGTAGCATCCAGTGTATGTTAAAAATTGTGCGTTTTAATACCTATTATAGCTAAGCCTAGAACAATTTAATTTTTGCTATTTAACTTAATTGTATAGGTTTTTATAATTTTCATGTTTAAAAAGGTAGTGCACTTTAAGTGCTCTCTCTAGAGCAGTTATCTGAAAAAACAGTGTTTTGTCCCCCTCCAGGTGTTCAGACACAATAAATTCCTATGTGAAAAGGCAGTATGTAGATTAATGCGGATGAGACTCAATCTACAGCAGGGAGATCTAGAACTTTTAATCTGGCCCTCAAGCACTTACTGGTGAGCAAAGTTGAGGGCTTTCCACACTGCTCCCAGAGGCATGGTGGACATGTCTCCCCTCCGGTTCCTATGCATAGGGGCAGCCAGGGGGCTCCACACGTTGCCCCCACCCCAAGCACCAGCTCTGTAATTCCCCTTGGCTGCAGTTCCCCACCACTGGGAGCTGCACCTGCAGATGGGCAGCGTGCAGAACCTGCACCCTGACCTATCCTTATGCATGCCAAACCCTCCCTATGTCCCAGCCCAGAGTTTGTACCCCCAGGTGGAGCCCACAGCCCAACCCCCATTTTTGTGGGCATTCATGGCCTGCCGTACAATTTCCATACCCAGATGTGGCCCTCAGGCAAAAACATTCACCCACTCATCATCTATAGGGAAATTACTATAACTACACATGCAAAACAAGATCAAAATTGGTTAGATTTAAACTCATCCACCTTAGTATAATTTATTTTGACTTTCAGAGAACATTTGATAAAGTCCTTTACAGGAGGTTACTAGGGCAACTTTGTCATGGGAAGAGGGCCAAGTATTGGCTAAGATTTGGATAGGCCAGTTTTCAGCATTGTGAAATGTTATGTGGGGCGCAGCAAGGTTCTCTATTACTCTTTGTATTTAACATATGAAAAAGGGGGTAACGAAGTTGAGAAAATCTGCAGATACCACAAAATACTTAGGCAAACCCACATGTCTCTGGAACCTAACAAACTCAGGGAAAGGGGTAACAGCACAATAGATAAAACTGACATGTTAGTTATCACGTTAAAAGGCATAATTTGAACTCCTCGTATACTGCTGTCAAGAAAAAAGTTGGGTGGAATTAGCCTGTTTTGCAGCTCAGAATGTTCAAGAAACAATACAATGCCATATTATAAGCCAGTGGTACAGCCTTTAGACTACTGTATATATTTGTGGTCACTTCATCTAGAAATAGAAGGGGGACAGATAGTTTATCTTAGTTTCCCTTTCTTAGTTGACTGTTATATAGAGGGTGTTGCCATGCCCCCTTTCTAAAAATGTGTGGTTTGCTCTCTTACAATACAAAAGTAAGCTTTTTGGAGCCAGGAGCTATAACTGTGGCCCTTATTGTAATATTAAGGGGACACAATGAAACTAACTTCAGTGCTAAACAGGGAATGGGTTTTGTGCTACATAATCTAGTGACAGTGAGTTGCAGAAATTAGGAGGCAAGAGGATTTATAGATAGACACCAGCAGTTATTCAACAGGATTAAAAACTGTTTCAGAGCATAATTCCAGCTACTGTGTGATGAGCAGGTTATTATAGAGCTGTCAAGGTGGGATTTGTGGATTGTTTTGAAGCCTCTGATCTAACCCAGTACATCAATTTCTATTTTGCAAAACAAATAAAATGTGCCTTCTAACATGGCTCAAAAATGCATTATCCATGGTGGTCACTTCACTGGAGTAATGACATTGTTTTGGGAGAAGAGTTGAATGTTTTGAACTGCAGGATCCACTTGCTGTTTAATAAACATTTTAACCTTCTCATTGCAGGAACAAAGTCAGCAGCCTACTACTGAAGATCTTCCAGAAAGGTCCCTGGTTTTATCTTCCTGATGCAATGGAACCCCAGTGGAGGTGAAAGTGCAGCAATTAAAGAAACAGTAATTTATCAATGCCAGTTGGCAAGTGACACTACCTGTGGCTTGTCCCTTAATCCAGAAGATTGGATTCCAAGTGAATTCTCATTGTTCAGATTTTTGCTCCTTATGGATCAATGCTACCCCCATGAAACGGTTTATAAAAGTCTTGTGATGGAGAACTAGCCAACTGTATGTATTTCAAAGTAAACCAAGCCTGGTTGTAAAGCAAGAGCTTATTTTTGAATTTAAATAAAGTAGCTTTTTAAGAAAAAAGTGGCCAAGGTGTGATATGTTCAATTTGAGCTATGAGAAACCAGCAATCTTGATGTTTAGGAGATAACTTTGAATAGAAACTGTGTCCTAAGCTAAATAGGAAATGGTCTTTTTCTGAATTCAGGTACCAAGATAGCTCATCATAACAAGACTTTTACTGACCTGAGTTCTGCAGAGAACGACTTTTCCCAATCCCCGTTAGATTTTCAGTAGATTCCAGGCACACAAATGAGAACAATCAGAGGTAATTTATTCCTCAGTTTGTGGATTTAAAAAAAAAACTGGTATAAAAAAAATTTTTAAAAGGACATATAGAACTATGAAAATTGTATTACTGTTAATTTAAACTGCTATAAACTTGTAGTGTTTTAATCAATGAAGCAGAGTACCTTAAACACTACATCTTATTGATAACAATGCTATCCACTTTCTTTTAACTATCTAAAGTACTCAGTGACTCATTTAAACTTGACATACAGTTAATCTCTAGCAGTAGTAGCAACTGTAGACTGTACCTTTTGCAGAACACTGATCACAAGAGTGTACAACTGTCAGTTTACTAGCACTATTTTAAAAAAGTAAAACTAATACACTTTGAACGGAATATCCAAATGTTGTTAGTGCTACAAAACCCATTTTCCTTTAAAGGTATATTATTGTTTTCCCTGCAAACAAAGGAAAGTGATAGACTCTTTGTTGAAAATTACAGTACAATCTGATCCCCTAATCTTTGTTCTATAGTTGAAATTCCAACCAGGCTTCTCTTTCTAAAAGTCTTTGATAGGATTTGGTCTCTTTGTACTTGAGGGTAAAGGGACTCTCTGTTCATCCATTCTCTTGGCCTGTGATCTCAAAATAAGGCTGAAGAAATCTTCATCAGGTACAGTTGGTCCTTTTGTGGCAGTTGATGGTGGAGCACATCTTTGATCATCTAATCTGGAACCCTAAAGATTTAAGAAGGGTTAAAAATTTAACCAGTGCCTGTGAGAAGTGCAAAAGCTCATACAATAATACGATTACTATTTCATTGCTAATATTCTGTATTTTCTCACTGCAGAAAGTTTATTTTTATGCACAGGAACAGATTCATTAAAAGCCATCAGGATTTCTTATTAGTAAAACCACAGGGTTTTACTAAAATTATAGTAATACTGCCTCTAGAATACTGGCACGATTAATACTAAGGGTATAATGCCTCATCCGCTTACCAGGTGTGCAGGCAACTCAAACCCTTCCCTCACCTCTAGCAGTTGAATGGGAAATACTATAACATACCCATTGAAGATGTCTCATCAAAAACATCCTGTCTTAGAGTTGTGTGTGAAGTTAAGAATGTGATTTAGTTTAGTTTCTTGTAAGCCCGTTGAGGTGTGAGTAGTAAGTATGAAAAGAATAACCTTTTTCGTAGGGGAATATGTTGGTGACAAGGAAAGGTGAGCAATAACCTTACAATATTTTGGTTTTGTATTCCTATTTTCTATCTATATGGACACTAGACTCTCCCTCAACCTTATTAGTGCCATTACATGAGGGCATGTAAGAAAGTTAATTTCCATTCCCAATTTGATTTCTGTATCTGACATCACTCCTGTAGTTAATAAAATAGGATACAATTGCAAAAGGCTTCAGGTATGTGTTTAACTCTGCAACTCAGGAATAAAATGGAAAATCAAACAGGAGAGGAATGGAAGAAGAGACATTTATTTTAAAAACATTAAATTAAATACCACGAACAAACCTGTAGCAGGATCCCTAACTAGGATTAGTTTATGCACACTTGCGTCTTACATAAAAGATGAAGAACCAGTTAATTCTGGCTCTGATCCAACTCCACTGCTAGCAATGGAAAGGTGGGTGGAACCCTCTAGTTTAAGCTTTTTTCGGCTACAGATTCTCTTGTTTTGCTATATTCACTTAAAACATTGAGCAAACTGAAGAGGTAAAGCTTATCTGGCTTCACAGTAGTTTCTGTAAGTATGGTCTGCTGCCATGCCCTTTAGTAATTCCTTACAGCAATCTTCTCATCACAACAGATTTCACATTCTACCTAGGGAGGGTGTAGAAGCTCCTTCACTGTAGGTTTTCAAAAGGAGGCTGGATAGCCATCTGTCTTGGATGGTTTAGACCCAACAAATCCTGCATCTAGATGACCCTTGCCATCCCTTCCAACCTTTTATGATTCTGAGGACACTGTTTTACATCCCTCCCTCTCTGGCAGTAAACACACTTAAAATGTGTCCTAGTAGTGCTGGACTAAATAGTAGTAATTTTCCTAGCACCAAATTCTGCTGTGGACTTCAGCCTGTGCAATCCCTATTATCTCCAATAGGGAGTGTAAATATTTTCCTCACACTGGATAAACCCAAATAATTTTTCTGGACTAAGTGCAAGACCCCACAAAGGCCTGATAAGAAAAACACCTGCACCACCTTAAATGTATCTGCCTTTCCAACATGAAAGTACACATTACACAGAATGGAAAGCAGGCAATTCTACAAAACACACACACATCATCAGTAAGAGTCACCACGCTACTAGCTACCTATTATACATCTTCCTTCCTTTGGATACAGGCACATTTTTACCAACTTATTTTAAAGCATCTAACCTATTGCAATGGTTTAAACTACAGCAATGTGCTGTACTGTTACAGTACATTAACAGTAAACTACACTGTTAATGCTGTACTGACTGCACAGGAGTGTGCAGTTATTTTTAAAACTGAATAGAAGTCTACACAATATTCTCTAACTTTATTTCCACAATTTGCCATCAGTCTGATGCAAAGTGTGGCACTTCTGTGGCTACGGCAACAGATTTAGGGTAGAATTCAGGATCTTCAGTGTTAAGAAAAGGAACTAATGATTACATTTCATTTAATCCTCTTTCTGTTCTGGACCCAGCCTGACGTTTCAGATCACTCATGTTAACTAAGTAGTAGAAATACTTCATAGCTTCTCTGTATTAAAAAGTTTTGTCCTTATGGAGGATCTGCCACTGCGCCCTAGCCACCTTCAACACCCCTTCATAGACTGGGAGGGCCACTGGGGAGGGGGCTGCTGCAGCTAAAATGTTGAACAGGCTGTCCATGGGCTCCTTTGGCTCCTCCACCTCCAGCTCGTGGGAACCTGTTTAAGGAGCTCTTGATGAACCCTAAAGTCATATGGTGGCAGTGGGTTGGCAGGACCTGTGACCTCCACATCTAGGGATGATGAGGAAGGGGCTATTACCATAGGAGGGACTAGTTCCTCCTCCACTACTGGGGTTGCCTCCACTGGGACTGGGGTTGCAGCCTGCGTCCAGCACCACCTGGGGTGGCACAGTGGTTTGCCTCTTGGATACAACCAAAGGTGACAGCTGGGAGTAGGATTCTGGCATCTGAGGGAACCGATTGCCATTACACCAACCACTGCCCCAGTCGCCAAGCATCTGCAGAAGGTCTGGCCCCAAAGTCTGATGCGTAAGGCTGATGCTGGTGTCTCCTCAGGATGGATTCATCCCTGGCCTCCGAAGAGAACTCCTCCTGCGGAGACCATGGTGGAGCCATTACCACTTCCGCCTGTCAGCTATGATGGGGGAGCTGGAGACTGGTGCTGTGGAGCCAGTGACATGGGACCGTGGATGTGTGTGTCAAAGTAGGGATCAGTGCTGTGAAGCAGAAGATCAGTGGCATGTCAGAGACCACTGAGGTGGGCCCATGGAGGGTCTCTCTCTGGTGGGCGCCACCTTCGACAACTCTGAGGAAGCCGGTTGAGAGGATCTCAAAGCATGGGCAGCACCAGGAGGGACATTAGGTCCCTTGCTGCCTGCAATGCTTCCAGTGTTGATGGGACTCATAGGCGTAGGGTGCTCCCAGGAGTCAGCGTTGAGTCCCGGACTGGGCTTGTTGCCCTGGGTGGAGTTGCCACTACAGAGCGCAGCTCTGGGGAGGACAAATGGCCCGGCACAGGTATCATCTCATCAGTCACTCTCCACCTATCCTCTTTGGCACTGCGGAGCGCCCTCTTTTGGTGCGCAGTTTCTTGTGCCTCTTCCTTGGCATCGAAGACGGTGAATGGTGCCAGGGGAGTGCTCCGTACCACAGCTCATTGCTCAGTGCAAAATCAGAGCGGCACAACTCCAAGGTCAGTCTAAGTGCTGCTTCCAGTAACAGGGCCTTCAAACGAATGTCCCTGTCCTTTTGTGTGCATGTCCTGAAGCCCTGCAGATTTTGCACCTGTCCTTAATGTGGGCTTCCCCGAGGCACTTCAAGCAGCTTGAATAGGGGTTGTTCACTGGCATGGACTTAACATAGGCAGCAGACGGTCTGAAACCTGGGGACCAGGCATGCCCCATCCTTATGACAATGTCCCGATATGGGACTGCTATCTACTTTAACTAACTACAGCTAACAACTAAACTTTTAACTATATACAGAACAACAAAGTCCAAAACCCACTGGAAAGCCTGCAAGGCAAGAAATATTCCAGCAACCATCCCGGGCAATAAGAAGGAACAGAGAGCAGGGGACTAGCAGTGCCCCTTATACTGGTGCATAATCACGGGCTCCAGGAGGTGATGGGCCAGCCCCTATCGCTACCATTAAGGAAAAAACATCCAGCAACTAGGCATGTTGCGCATGCACACCTACCATGGAACTGACATGAGCAAGCAGTCGAAGAACGTCAACGTACTCATCATTTCAATATATTCTAGAAGGTTTCATTCACAGATTGAAATTAGAGCCTAATATTTCTAGTATCAAGAGTCTTACTGATGTTGAGTGTAAATATTGCAAGTTAAAAGTTAAAAACATGAAAAAAACTCACTGAATTTTCTCTCCAACTCTGCACATATTACAGCACCCAGCACTTTTAGAGTGCTTTTCATATATCAATTTCGAAGTGCTCTACAGATATAGGCATTATCCCCATTTTTGAGATGAGGTAAATGAGGCCTTGTGGGGGCAAATTACATGAACACCCAGTTCTTTTGACCCTCCCATATAACTGAGCAGAATTTTTTCCACATACCGTTCTTGTTGACTTACTTGACATTTTATTAATATATCAAAGAAGTCATCATCTGATTCTCTGTTGTTGCTAGCCATTAGGTGGCCAAGGACTGACTGACTG